TATAAAGAACGGTTGCTGGAATTGGATATGTCTAGTTTAATGAAGAGAAGGATGAGGGGGGACATGATAGCCGTGTTCCAATATCTCAGAGGCTGCCACAAAGAAGAGGGAGTCAAGCTATTCTACAAAGCACCTGAAGACAGGACAAGGAGCAATGGATGGAAACTAATCAAGGAGAGAAGCAACCTAGAACCTGAGGAGAAATGTCCTGACAGTGAGAACAATTAACCAGTGGAACAACTTGGCTCCAGAAGCTGTGAATGCTCCAACACTGGAAGCTTTTAAGAAGAGATTGGACAACCATTTGTCTGAAATGGTATAGGGTTTCCTGCCTGAGCAGGGGGTTGGACTAGATGATCTCCAAGGTCCCTTCCAACTCTGTTATTCTGTATTCACAGGAATCCCATAAAAAATGTAAAAATATGTATAAAAGCAAAGAGGCAGGAAGAAGAGGATGTTTCATGAATAAATAAATTACAGAATCTGCAAAGCTTGTTTATTAACTCACAGTCTTTAAATGGAGTTATTTTGTCTTGTGAATCTTTTTAATAATTTAGAATCCATCATTTGCTATTATTTGTCCTCTAGCATAAAGGTATGCCAAAACTTGCCTTTTTCCAAAAAGGGTACTGAGTTTTTGAGCTTATTTTATCATTGGAGGTAGAACAAAGTATTCTTTAAATATAGCATGATTTATTTCCCAAAATGTATGTAGCCATGCATTAAGTCATGACTAGCCAGCAATTTCCTACTGTGATTTTTTTAGTACTTGCACAGTTGTTAAGTGAATCAGAGTTAAGTGAATCACTGTAATTGTTTAGTAACACGGTTGTTAAGTGAATCAGGCGTTAAGTGAATCACTGTAATTGTTTAGTAACACGGTTGTTAAGTGAATCAGGCTCCCCCATTGACTTCGTTTTTCGGAAGGTCACAAAAAGTGATCACATGACCCTGGGACACTGCAACCGTCGTAAATACATGGAAGTTGCCAAGTGTCCGAATTTTGATCACTTGACCATGGGGATGCTGCATTGGTCATAACTGTGAAGAATGATCATGTCACTTTTTTAAGTGCTGTTGTAATGGTTACTTACAGCCACGCAGTATTGTAAGTCAAGCACTACCTGTATATTAAAATCAAGAAATAGAACACTTTTTTCCATGTTGCCAGCATTTAAATTCCCCAATATCTCAAAATATCTCCTCAACATTATGACAACACAAGGAATCAATCCATGCAACTTCCAACTGATCAAGTGAAGCCTGTTACAAATAGCCTGTAATCTGTTGTCCACTCTCATTCTATGAAAATTTCCTATCTCAGAATCCAAGTAGTTGCCATGAAGGGGAGCTTCACAGCTATTAAAGCACTTGCCCCCTCTGTTTTCTTGAAATGCATGTAAAATAGTAGTATCTCAAAAAGACAGAAAGCTGAGCGTCTATGGCAGTGGTGGCGAACCTATGGCACAAGTGCCAGAGGCGGCACTCAGAGCCCTCTCTGTGGGCACGCGCGCTGTCGCCCCAGTCCTAGGCCTTCAGCTGGGTTTTATAAAACCTTTTCGCTTTAGGCCTCCGCTGCCGTGTGCAAAAAAAAAAAAAAAAAGGTTCAATCAATCAATCAATTTCAACTTCTCGCAGGAAAAAAAAGATCTTGCAAAGTTGGAATTGATTGATTGAACTTTTTAGTCCCACCAGTCTGCCGTTACCACCGCAGCCATGCCCACCCAATGGGCCATGTCCACCCAATGGGCCACACCCATCCGGCACTCGATGATGCATAAGTGGGTTTTGGGTTGCAGTTTGGGCACTCGGTCTCTAAAAGGTTTGCCATCACTGATCTATGGAAAGGGGGAGAGTCCAGAACTGAGCCCACACTGATATAAGAATTCCCATGAATGGAACACTGGCTCATTTGTGGTTCTCCACACCTTCAGAATTTCCAGTGGGAAACAACTTGATTTGAGATGCACTACAGCAGGCTCAGAAATAAATTGTCTTGGCTCAGTGACAGTATCAGCCTATACAACAGTGATGTAAGGTCCCTGCTAGGAGATTCAATAGGTTAAATTCCCTTCTACAATGGGAAAGAGTTGAGAAGTCATGGTTCTCATGAGTGAGAACTGATCTTGCTGAACCACAATCATCCCTGAGCCAAGGGGGCCAACAGCAATGGATGACGAATGACACAGTTTCGGCAATGTACTTGTACTTGTAAATCCAACAAAAATCAGAACAAAGGCATACAAGGCTGACATTGTGTTAGGATTTCAGTGTGCTTGCAAGTGAGCTGATAATAAATTTCTTTGTTTATGACACAACAAGCACACAAAAGTCTAATGAGCTGATAAACATCGGTGAGATACATTGAAACGGAGATGCTCATTCCATGATACTAATTACTGAAATAAATAATGATGCATAGACTTGCATTATAATATACTGGCTGAAATTACTGTTTTTTTCCCACAGATCTGAGCCCTCGCCTTATGGAGGATAATTATAAATCCAGATGGGTTATGACCATTCAACAAAAATTCCAATAACCTCTCCAACGAAGGGCTCCTAATATTAAAGATCAACAAGACCTGTCTGTTCTATCCAAGAACGTTTCTTTAGAGCAGGGGTGGGGAACCTTGGCTCTTTTATGACTTGTGGACTCAGAATTCATGTCCAGCTTAGAAAGACATTAATAAACAATAAATTGCAGAAGGAGGTACCACTCTCCTTTAACTGAACTCAAGAAAGCTGAACAAGTTTATATCTAGTTGGCACTGATAAAAAAGACCACCAGGAAATACCAGGATTGTAACCTATACTTAGAAATTGAAAAAAAATTCCAGAAGATAGCAAGCCACTTCAATATCATTGCCAAGAAATTGACATGGATGTGTCCCTAAAATCACTAGAATTCAACCTTCATTACACTACTACGTGATTCAACAAAAGTGTCAGTGGCAATCTGGGGAATCTGTCAAATCTCTTGGGATCTACTGGTGGTCAATGTGGCAATGTTCCCATTTTGAGATCAGATGGACTACTATCTTCATCATCTCCATCATGACTGAACTGTATGGGGATTAGGGGTGTTGTCTGCAATCCAGAACATTTGGTTTGTAGAAGACTGATCTAACCAACAGTGAGAAAATAAAACGGCTTCCGATGAGTGAGTTTGCAGATCACAAACTTCTCTGTGGTTGTTTAGTTTTATTTATTATTCTATTTATTGATTTACCACATTTTAAAATCACCCATCTCCCTCACTGGGGGAAGGCAGTTTTGGCTTGGAGGGCTATAATAAACCAGCGACTTGCAGTTAATCAACCAATGGCTTAGTGCAATGAATTATAGTGCTATTATAGTGCTATATTCAATAATGCTGTGATTTACTTGTTCCTTTTGAGTAATCCTCATAGAGGCTCCATAATATTTTCAGGATTAAATTGCAACAGACAAAATCCATTCACCATTTAAGGTATGCGTGCATCTATAAAATCTCTTTCACCATTTTATAGACATGCAACAGAGTCTCAAATAATACTGAGAAACCCTAGCAGTTTTTCATTCAATCTTGATGGAAGATGATTTTAATTAGATTTTTTTTTTAAAGAAGAGAGTTTCAAGGAAATTCTTCTGAGTGAAGCCTGATATTCCTCCATATCAGGAAATATAATATTGTTCTGTGTTTGATCAGCCAGTTCTTCAGCTAGTCCTCGTTTTGTGACTGCCTTGTTTAGTGACTGTTTATAGTTACAATAGTGATCAAAAAGCAACTTTACAACCAATTCTCACATTTACAACTATCACAAGTATCAAAGGAAAGCTGAAGTAAGCATGATAAGCACAGTCACTTTTTCATTTACAAACCCCTTCATTTAATGACCAAGTTGCCAGTCCCAACTGCAGTAGCTAAACGAGGATTACCTGTACTTTTATACAAAATTTTCTTCCTACATTTTTAGTAAATCCCTAGGGAAGACATCAACAAGAAACCTCTCCCATCATTCCTTTCCAGTAGAATGGTTAGTGAAGAACAGATTTCTGCTAAAGAATTTCTCCTTGGGAAAAATTTCCAATTTCTCTACTTACAAATTTGGTAGAACATTTCAAAAGAACATTTGTTCCCAATTCTATTCTCAAAACCTTCAAGGCTGTACTCACATATCTTTAGGGCATATTAAGTGCAAAGCCTTAATATTTTTGTGTGTGCGTGTATGTATTCATACAATTTATTAAGTTTCCTTTATTTTAATTTTGGTTAGGCTTTTAAAGACTTAAGGGTGTTACTCTATTTGCTCAGTTGATGGTTTAATGAAATGTGCAAACCTAGATCAAGATCTAATCCAGTAACCATGAAATGAAGCTCAACGCCCCAAGATGGGCTTCTGATGGGAGATCCTTTAAATAAATCTCTTTTTGGGGGGGGGGTCAGTTCCCAGACGTTCTCCAAAGCTGAAAGGTGATCTCTGCATTTTTAAATGTTCACTTTTGTGCAGATTTACATACGGTACAGGAGAAAAAAAAAACTTCCTGGTATGGCGGTGGTGGCAGTTAACAGGAATACGTGCGATTTTAATGGTTCTGCTTTTCGACAGTCGCACGTTTTAGCACAGTGGGAAGATGAATTTTAAACGCGTCAGTCCTGAGTATTATCAAAAACTTTAAGAGGCAGTATAAGAAGAAATCGAGAGACCGCTCAAAAATATTAAGGCTCTAGCAGACAATGCTTACTATTCAACTATTCATTTCAGGCGGGGGGGAGGGAAAGGAGGAAAATATATTTTATGACTTTTAAAAAATATCAGTATTAAAAAAATACTGTACTTTGGGGCAAAAGGAAAAGAGAAAGGAGGAGGGAGGGGGGAAATCTCTCTCCAAGAAAGTTTCATGCGACTCCTGTTACGTGTCATATGTCCCCACAATGCGGACCACCAGAACGATTCGCACACGCGTACGGACGCGCTTTCAACCGGCTCTCTGGTTAGAAAGACGCCCAAGTTTACCTGGACCTGAAGCGGCTGCAAGCGGAGCGTGGCTGGCGTTCGTGGAGAGAAGCCGCAGCGGAGCCATCCGCGAAGAGTTCCTTCTGCAAAACTCCTGCCAGGGGCGGGGAGGCCCGGCCGGGAAGGCGTGGACGGATTTGAACACACTCCCGCCCAGGGGAATTCGCACGAGAAGGCGGTGTGTGTGTGTGTGTGTGTGTGTGTGTGTGTGTGTGTGTGTGTGTGTGTGCGCGCGCTGAGAGGCCGGATCCTTAGAGGTGCCCCTGCGTGAGCGCATGGGAGCTCCCGGGACGAAGAACAAATTGCCTTTTTGGAACAAAATTATGCAAAGCCACTGTGCTCCAGGAAGGACAGCTGGCTCCTAGATGGATTTATGCAGAAGTCCCAAAGATGCTTTTTCATGAGGCAACTGGATTTCCTTTTTTCTTTTTGAAGACGTTTCGCTTCTCATCCAAGAAGCTTCCACAGTTCTTGACTGGATGGTGGAGAATGGAAGGATTTATATTCCTTGCAGACAGCTGGTCATTGCGTTCTTTGAAGAGGAATATAAATCCTTCCACTCCCCGCCATCCAGTCAGAGCTGAAGAAGCTTCTTGGATGAGAAGCGAAACGTCTTCTGTGAGAAAAAAGAAAGTCCAGTTGCCTCATGGAAAAGCACCTTTGGGACAACCGTGGCCTGGATGATTGAGAATCTCCATAGATATTTATGCAGTAGTTTTCTTCAGTGATGGCTTAAGAAGGGCTGGCATCAGGAAGCTCTCCAGAACCCAAGTAGCCAAAGTACTCTCCTTCTCTCCCAGCAGGATCCCTTCGCCCACCTGATGTTTCATTTGGTAGATGGTCTCAACCAGTGGCAGCCCCGGAGCTCAACTCAAGTGCTAAGCAGGTTCTGGGCTGGTTTCTCCTTGTACGACAGGGGTGTCAAACTCACAATGTCACGTGACGTTTGCGATGTATCGTGAATTTTTTTGCCATTGCCGGCAATGGTTTGACACCCCTGTTCTAGGAGGATTTCCAGCGAATCCCAAGGCTAGACGTTAGACTAGGCTGTTTAAAGAATCCCAGAAGGAGGCTAGTAGATCATATCTGCGGTCCAGGGAATCTGCCAGAGAATCTGCTGAGACATGGCCATGAAGTTAATAGGAGCTGGAGTTGGTTCAAATAGACTGTAGAACCATCTGGTTAGATTTGCTTCTACCTTTGCTGCAGACCTTGTACAGGTAGTCCTCGACTTACGATCACAATTAAGCCCCAAATTTCTGTTGTTAAGTAAGATATTTGTTAAGTGAGTTTTGCCCATTTTATGACCTTACTAGTCACAGTTGGTAAGTGAGTCACTGCAGTTGTTAAGTTAGCCACACAGTTGTTAAGTGAACCTGGTTTCACATGACCCCGGGACATTGCAATCGTCATAAAGACAAGTCAGTTGCCAAGCATCTGAATTTTGATCACATGAAAATGGCAATGCTACAAAGATCATAACAGTGAAAAATGGTCATAAGTCACATTTTTCAGTGCTGCTGTAACTTTGAACAGTCACTAAACGAACTGTTGTAAACTGAGGACTACCTTTACATCATATCTGTGTCCGCATCTTGGCAGAGAACCTGCTGCAACATGGCCATGAAATTAATAGAAGCTGAGGTTGCTTCAAACAGAACTGTAGATCTATCTGGTTAGATTTGTTCCTGCCTTTGTTATAGGCATTGAGGTAAAAAATCAGAAGTCTGGTGGCACATTTTCCAACTAATAAATATTATTAAAAGAGATAAGCTAACCTGTCTTCTCAGAATTCTAGGTAGCCCACATAAGATTCCCCTCTCAGTTTCTCTACATCAACAATGCTATGGAGAACACTTGATTGAGAAATAGGGAGTCGCCCAATAATGATGAACACATCTTTCACAATGCCATATCTTAAAAAGCACACAACACAAAGTGAATGGAAATAGCATCTTTACTTCCCAAAACATTTTTGGGCCCAACAAAGGATTCTTAGAAGATCAGAATGGTGGCTGGTTGCAACCTAGGGCGTTAGAAGAAATGGAAGTAGTGAGAAAGCAATTCTGAAGAGCACAGTTCCTAGGAACACAGATGCTTGTTTCATAATAAATGGGTGTATCTTTAAGATGCCACCTGCCTCACCTCACTATGTACTTGCATAGGTCATTGTATGCTTAACTCTTGTTTATTTGATAAATGACAATGGGTGGTGCTCAAATAATACACTAAGTCACTGGAACCCCACGCAATGTCATTTATCAAATAAACTAGAGTTAAAGAGCATTTTAGTTTAGATATTAATCTCCTCCTATTTTGCTTATTTAATTCCTGCCAATTCTTCATAGATTATGGTGTCCTGTTTGGTGATTCTGTTGCCTTTGATTTTCAGATAATCTTGCAGCTGGTGGATTCCCAGGCACAGTGGAATCAAAATGGAATCTTCAGATAAAGAGTTCTCGCACCAAACTTTCCAAGAAATCCAACAGCAATACCAAAAAATTAGGTTTTTTTAAAAAAATAAGAGAAAGGGGGAATGTCCATCCTGGAAACGCACAGTGGCTCTGTAATCTATCTCCTTTAAAATATGTACAGGCAGTCTTTAACTTACCACCACAATTGTGCCCAAAATGTATGTTGCTAAGTGAACTATTTGTTAAGTGAGTTTTGCCCCATTTTATGATGTTTCTAGCCACAGATGTTAAGTGAAGTTAGCAACATAGTTGTTAAATGAATCTGGCTTCCCCATTGACTTTGCTTGTCAGAAGGTCACAAAAGGTGATCATATGATCCTGAGACACTGCATCCATGATAAATATGAATTGGTTGCCAAGCATCTGAATTTTGATCATGTGACCAAAAGGATGTTGGAGTGGTCGTAAGTGTGAAAAACGGTCATAAGTCACTTTTTTCAGTGTCGTAACAGTTACTAAACGAGTTGTTGCAAGTTGAGGACTACCTGTATATACGTATACATATACATTTATGTTTACATTTACGTATACGCATACGTATACTTATGCATTGGAGGCAAACAAGGTCCAGGCAGAAGAAGAACATCGTGGCTTCAAAATCTAAGGGATTGGTTTGGACAAAACTCAGCAGCACTTTTTCGTGAACGCCACAGGAACGCCAACATGATCGCCAACGTCCGATAACGGATATGGCACAAGAAGAAGATACTTATGCATAAACATATACATGGCTTAGATATCTTTCTTGTTCTGCTCATTTGAGTCTCATGTAGGTATAAGCTACAGCATTCCTTCTCCCTTTTCTTTGCTTTTTAAGTAGCAGTTTAAGTTAGTTATACTGCAATGCGATTTTGTTTACAATTTTTATTAGCAACTTTGAACTCCATTGGTTGAAGCGAGGGTATAATTCAAAATAATAAAGATCCCTTCTGCCAAAGAAATAGTACTCAGAATGGCTAACACACACACACAAATATACAAATAAAAATCACCAAAAAATGAAGACACAATGAAAAGCAAACTTGAATACTCTAATACAACAGTTACAAGCAAAAAACTTAAACAACTATCCTAGAATAGAGAGATGATTAGAATGACCCTAATCACAATTTATAAATTTGCCCAGTGCAGCAGGTGGGCCTGTCAAAATAACAGTGCTTGAAGGAAAGGTAAGCACCAGAGTGTAGGCCTATAAGCATGTTAAGCACAGCCAACTCAACCAGTTCTGCAAAAACTGAGGCTAGATCATGATCTTAGCACCAGCAGCTAAGACCAGGAAAAGTTTCTTAACTGTCCCCTACAGCAGTTTTTAATCTCAGCGAGCGACTCAGAAAGTCTCATATTAAGGTGAAGATAATGTTTTTATAGCTTTTCCTTTAGGCAGCTAAAACAGGTAGAGAAGATGAGCCTGTTCTACCATAGAGCTGAAACTGATGGTTACCTCTGAAAGCTAAAATTATGTGTAACTAGTGATAGTGAGGTATTGAAGACCCAAGCTTTGTGTGCCATGTCACCTGTTCTTCTTCATTTAAACTGATGTCCTCCCTTTTCAGAGTTGACAAACAGTTTGGATCAACTCTGATTTGCAAGGCTGATAATTGTTCCTTAGATATTATAAGATAGTCCTTGAAAGCATGATGAAAGGAGAGAAGAATGATGACCAGTGAGAAATTTCCACTGTTGGCTAAGAAAAACATAAAAGGGCCTTGATGGGCCAGACAAAAGCTGACCTTCTCTAGTTTTCTATGTTTCAGTGACCTTCATTGTTGCTGTTAAGAAGCAGCTTTGAAAATGTTGCCATTTAGAGGCCTTTATTCCATGAATTGGCTTTGTCCATCATTTAAAAAAAAGGTGAGCACATTTATATCCAATGGTGGTAAATTCCATATTTTAACTCTGCATAATATATGGACAATACAATATAGGAGATAAGATATTAAGATAAAAGCATAATAAAATCACCATAATATGGAGCCATAGAATTGCAGTGGGATAGATGTTATAATTCAATATCTAAGGAAGATGTATACTTCTGTAGATGCTATATGAGAAAAAAAGAAAGAAAAAAAGAAAGATAAAGAAAAAAAGAAAGAAAAAGAAAAAAGAAGGAAAGAAAGAAAGAAAGAAAAAGGAGAGAGCAAAATTTACTGTAGAGGCAGTGAAAAACCCTGGTTAAAAAAAAAAAATCTCTATTTTTCTGCTTAAAGTTTCTAACAATATGGCAGATGCCACAGAGATGTTATTAATGTAAATGCCAATATGTGTCATGTAAATGTAACATGCAAGGTTGCCCCCACAACTAATCAAGGCTAAAAGTAACTGAGTTTAGCCTATTACACAAATGAATCTGACATTTAGTTGTGAGAAGTTAGCAACAGACATAGCCAGTTTACGTTGTGTGGTTCTGAAGATCTTGTTGTGCTTCTTCGTATAAAAACCACAATAGTAAACAACAATATTAGTAACAGAAACATTAGCAGAAACAAAAGAAGCCAGGTCTTTTTTCCAGGTTGCTACTTGAAATGGCTATTTCATTAAGCATAATGATAAGGCAGACTCTGAAAATTGGAATTCTTTGCTGGCTTATGCAGTTAATTGCATTTGTCTTCAGTGAAAAATTGAACACAGAAAGGGAATTGCAGTTTGCCTCTTTGTAAATGCAAGCTTCTAAACTGTAAACAGCTTAGACTTGTCATATGGACTCATTCATGACTATAATGTTTAATCCGTTTGAATCTGGAATGCTAGACAACCACCACAAAGAAGAAGAAGGAATGATAATAAAAGGCTCCTACTGATTAAGGATTGATTGAATCACAATTGAAATCACCATTGACTTTGCTTGTCAGAATATCGTAAAGTGTGATCACATGACCCCAGGACACTACAACCATCATAAATATGAGTCAGTTGTCAAGGGCCTGAATTTGGATCACATGACCATGGCAATGCCGCAAGGATCGTAAGTGTGAAAAACTGTCTTAAGTTACTTTTTTCAGTGCCGCTGTAACTTTGATTACTTTGAACTGTTGTCAGTTGAAGACTACCTGTATTTCTTTACTTAAACTCCTGTCTAGGTGCTTATTCTTGAGGGCAACCTCAAGTCCATTCCTTTCCATTCTTATAGTATTTTATTTTTAATCAAGAGCCTTTTATTATCATTCCTTCTTCTTCTTTGTGGTGGTTGTCTAGCATTCCAGATTCAAACGGATTAAACATTATAGTCATGAATGAGTCCATATGACAAGTCTAAGCTGTTTACAGTTTAGAAGCTTGCATTTACAAAGAGGCAAACTGCAATTCCCTTTCTGTGTTCAATTTTTCACTGAAGACAAATGCAATTAACTGCATAAGCCAGCAAAGAATTCCAATTTTCAGAGTCTGCCTTATCATTATGCTATTATTATTATTATTATTATTATTATTATTAGGAAGCCAGATTCACTTAACCATCATGTTGCTAACTTAACAACTGCAGCAATTCACTCAACAACTGTGGCAAGAAAAGTCATAAAATAAGCCAAACTCAAATAACAAATGTCTCACTTAGCAACAGAAATTTTGGGCTCAATAACAGTTGTAAGTCGAGGATTACCTGTCTTCTCTGATTAATATAGGAGAAGTACATGGTATTTTTCTACAATGACCAGGGTTTTCCACCGCATCTAGATTTTGCTCTTTAAAATGACCAGATTGAGTATTTGGTCTGTCAACCCTGAAGATTTGCTCACCTTGGAAATGACGCAAAACATCCATCCTTGAAATACAGAAGTGAGATTAAAATGGCTCTGGAGGACAGTAGGTCATAAAAACAAGAACATCAATTCAAGATCCATATCAAAAGTGGCAAAAGGCTGACTGGTTGGTCACCTTGCACAAATAGAAGAAGGAAAAGGATACCAAAAGTACAAAAATTTCCTATATTGGCTCTTTATATTGGCCTCATATGCAAGTGGAGCAGAAAAATTGCCAAGGAAATCTGGGAAGGATCTGCTTTTTGTTCTCACAAATACGGTGAAAGAGACAAAAGGACATACAGACCTGTTTAGAAGACTTTAGAGCAGAGAACTAAGAGCATCTCTTTGTTGTTTGCATAAAACATAATGAGAGGCACAGATGGTCAGTGGCTTAATGATGCTGGAGATGGTCTTTGCTCCAATGGTTTGAATCCTAGCATTGTATGGTGGGATATGCTCCTGTCACTCACCTTGGCTTCTGTCCACCTACTGTGTTTCCCCAAAAATAAGACCCGGTCTTTTTTTTTTTGCCTCCAAAAGAGGCACCAGGTCTTATTTTCAGGGGGTGTCTTTTCCACTTACCTCCGGTGCTGACAATCCTGCCCAGCCGGCCCACTTCTGCAGCTAAAGGAACATCTTCATTCTATAACTGAGAAGGGAGTTCGGGCCTGCATTTTGCAATCCATAGCTCGGTACTCGGCTGCGTAGGCCTTCTGGAATGCAGGCTGTACCTCCATTCTTAGCTGCAGAACGAAGCTGCTCCTTTGGCCGCAGAAGAAGTGGGTCAGTGAGGCAAGCGTCGATCCATGGGAGGCCTGGCTGCAACAATAAGCTCCAATTCCCCACCCCTGCCTTAGCTTGATTTTTAGGCGTGCGCCTCACCCTCAAACTAGGGCTTATTTTGGGGGTAGGGCTTATATTAGCCCCCCAAAATCAAGCTAGGGCTTATTTTCAGGGTAGGCCTTACTTTCGGGGAACGCGATAGCAGTTCGAAAGCATGTTATATGCAGGTAAATAAATGGGTATCACTTTGGTGGGAAGACAAGCCAGCACTTTGTATGGACAGTTAGGATCCTGTTGATGCTGGACCTTCCTGGTTGCGATGCCCGTTTGCAAGATGGCTTTGGTGAAGGGAGAGGGCCCAGGATGACACTGCACGAAGCCATTCATCTTTCTTTCAAGTCTGGAGCTAGCTCGCCCCCTTGGAAAAGCAGGCGAGTGTGAACCCAACAGGATTAACAGTGTTAGCATTTTAGCCTCCTGGCTAATGTAACATCGCCATACACTAAATAAAAATAAATAAATAAAACACAGTAAAACTTTAGCAAATGTCCTTCTCTGCTCCCCATTCCTCTCCATCTCTGGATTAGGCCAATATAAGTAATCCTCGACTTACGACTGGTAACTTAATGACTGTTTAAAGTTCTGACAGATCTATCCGGGATACTTATGACCCTAATTTGAAATTCTGATGGTCGCCCCTCCCCCACGAGCACATGACTGCATTCTGGGTGCTCAGCAACGGGGCTGCATTTACAGCCATTTGCAGCATCGTGTGGTCACATGACCATGTTTTACAATGATTTTGCCAAAAAGCAGCATTTACTTCTGTTTTTTGGCAAAACCGCACCCATAGTGAACCTCTGATCTGCCTGATGACTGACACCAGAAAGATCGTAAAATCAGCTTTACGACTGTCACCAGCTTTACACTGTACAACTCTGGTGGGCAGGCTCCATTATGATTATAATTCCAGGACTACCTGTAGAGCTTATGAAAAACCAGTCAAAATGCCATTTGTCAATCATGTAGTGCAGCTCTTTGCCATACCATGAGCATCCCTCTACCTTTTCAGCCAGGACTCAAGGATTGCATTTGGAAGCCTCCTTGTGAAGATATAATAAAGGTGACTGGGATTTCTGGGAGTTCAGCACATTACAAAGTGCACCAAAGACTAGATTGAGCATTCATTTCTTTAAATTAAACATTCTTAAGGACATTGAAAAGCTTAGGTACATAAGATTTTTTTTAATCTTTGGCATGACTTATATGCAAGATGACTGTGTCTATGTCTGGAAATAGTAATTAGAGCCATAATAATAATAATATTCTCTCTCTCTCTCTCTCTCTCTCTCTCTCTCTCTCTCTCTCTCTCTCTCTCTCTCTCTGTGTGTGTGTGTGTGTATGCATGTGCCTTTGAGTCACTCTTGACTTCTGGGAAATGCCTGATTTCCTTGTCAAGATTTTCAGAAGTGGTTTGCCACTGTCTGCTTCCTTGGTCTATAATAGCAGCAGCAGCAGCAGCAGCAGCAGCAGCAGCAGCAGCAGCAGTAGTAAAGTTGGAAGGTCATCTAGTCTAACCCCCTGCTCAAGCAGGAAACCCTGTCCAGTCTCTTCTTTAAAACTTCCAGTGTTGGAGCATTTACAGTTTCTGGAGGCAGGTTGATTAATTGTTCTAACTGTCAGGAAATTTCTCCTTAGTTCTAGGTTGCTTCTCTCTTTGGGTAATTTCCATCCGTTGCTCCTTGTCCTGCCTTCAGGTGCTTTGGAGAATAGCTTGACTCCCTCTTCTTTGTGGCAGCCTCTGAGACATTGGAGCACTGCTATCATATCCCCCCTCGTCCTTCTCTTCATTAAACTAGACCAGAGGTAGGCAACCCAAAACATTCAAAGAGCCAGTTGGACCTATTTTCCACTGACAACAAAATACTGGGAGCCACAAAACCCTTTTGACATCTAAAATGAAGCTAACACTGCATATATCCTTTTTTTACCTTTGTTATAGGTATATCTATATCATAAAAGTAAAAAAGGATATATGCAATGTTAGCTTCATTTTAGATGTCAAAAGGGTCTGTCTCTCTGTCTCTCCTCTCCCCCCCTCTCTCTTTCTCTCCTTCTCTCTCTCTCCCCCCTCTCTGTCCCTCTCTCCAATCTTCTGCTCACCTGGCAAGCTGGCTTCAAGCTGTTCTCCAACAAGCTCAGGGGTAGGCAACCTCGGCTCTTTTATGACTCATGGACTTCAACTCCCAGAATTCCTGAGTCAGCATAGCTGGGCTAGCTAGCTCTCTCCTGCCCTTCCTGCCTCCTGTTTCCTGCTTCCTGCAGAGACGCAGCAAAGGGAGGAGCTCTGCTCAATAAGCTTTTCAGCTAGTCGGAGAACACCGTGAATCCACTCTCTTTTTTACACACACACACACACACACACACACACACACACACACACACAGAGAGAGAGAGAGAGAGAGAGAGAGAGAGAGAGAGAGAGAGAGAGAGAGAGAGAGAGATGGGAAGGCAAGTGCCTCTTTCTGTCTCTTGTCTCTTTCTGCAAATGGCAGAGGAGGCTGGGAGCCGCAGGGGAAGGCTCAAAGAGCCACATGCAGCTCCGGAGCCGCAGGTTGCTGACCTGTGAACTAGTCATACCCAATTCCAGCAACTGTTCCTTATATGTTTTAGCCTCCAGAGCTGAACTGGAGGCTAAAACATATAACTGGCCCAAGGTCACCCAGTTGTCTTCAAGCCCAAGGCAGTACTATAACTCACTGTCTCCCAGATTTTAGACTAATGCTTTAACTACTACACTACATAGGCTCTCATAATTTATACTGTAAAATAAGAATAATTTACTTTGTGCCTATTTGTTACGCATATGTAGGATAAGATAATTCTTGTAATAATTTATTTATGAGTTAACACATGAATGCAGTCATATCACCAAAGATCACTGGAATAAAAAGTAAAATGAGAATAAAACAATATGGTAAGGAAGGACAGCAGAGCAAAGAACAGGGAGCATTTCTGCTTAAGTGTTTTCTAAGCAGACCCAACTTTCCAGTTACTAACCCTGTTAGATAATCTCAGATTCATTTTTGTGTTATCTGCAGCAACTACCAAGATGCTTCTGGGAAGCCCACCTGCAGAATCTGAAGCCAACAGGTGTCTCCCCTGCTTTCCTCCAGCAGGTGATGTTCAAACAGGCATGCATTACTTCTGGAGTCTAGTTTCAGTTCTCATGACTCAAAACTACTGGAAGACAAGTTCTTCTGTTATTCCCTTTCAATACCAGCTAAAGACTAATTCAGGCACTTGGAAAGTAACATTGTGGGGCCATGTGCAGTAAGTCTATTTCTGCTGCCCACAAACTGCTAATTATGTCCTTTCCGTTCTTTACTTTCTTGCATTTATCTTAAAATCCACACTGAAGAGGAACGATTCCTACAGAACTGAAGTTAACTGAAAATCTCAGTGGAAACTTGATAAAGTTAGGCTCTTGACCACATTGACTTTGTCGACATTCTGAGGTTTCTGTTCAACGTCCAGTGAATATTTCTGCAGCTCTTCCTGTTCAACAGGGGAAAATAAGAGGAACAGGAGCTTTGCCCTGGGTAGGCCTCCTCATCGCTCCCTAATAAAGTGTGAACAAGATTTTGATTAGTATCCTATTTTATAACAACAGATTCTATAATTAAGTCCTGCATGCATGCTAGCTGGTTTGGGGTACGTTTAAAAAAGCTATTTATCAAACAGGATTTATCAGTCTATCCAGAAAGTCTCAATAAAAAACCAATTGGAGCTGAATTTGGCTTGGTGGGTTACCACCAAATCAGCCATGCATTTTTGCAATTACATCTCATTTGTCATGCAGACGCTGTAGCCAAGGAGAACTGCTGACATTTCAGTGCTTAAAGAAAGGAAGAAGAGAGGAAGTTGTTGAATCCCTGCAGATAAAATGTAACTTTAGGAAAGAAGTTAGAGGATCTTGTGGCTGAGCAAGGAAACTAACATGCGAGGCAGGCTGAGCCTCAACCGTTGGCTATTTTGGGGGGACGAGGTTATATAAGACACCGATCTCATGATCATTAAGGAAGTTCTTTTATGCTAAAGAAAAAAGCATGCAGCTAATGCAATTTGGAATAAGGTCCCCAATATTGGGGAAGTGAAAAGAAAGGCTTATACAATTATCAGCCTGTGCACACAGCCACATGGAATAAAATCCTTCTAGATTATGTAGAGATTTATCAGATTAATTTATGTATATATACATACATACATCCTTCTTTTTTTAGTTTTAGATGAACATTCAACAACTAAAAGAAACTGTGTTTGATAGGGTATCGTGGAGAGCACTTGCCTATAAGGTTGTCAAGAGTTGAACACAACTGAATGGTTAAAATTAACTAACTTTATTATTTTCACCAATAACTCAAGGCAGCGAACGCATCCAACACATCCTCCTCCTCCATATTTTCCCCACAACAACTCAATGAAGTGGGGTTGGCTGAGAGAGAACGACTGGCCCATCTTGCTTTCATGACTAAGGCAGAATTTGAACTCACAGTCTCCTGATTTCTAGCCTGGTGCCTTAACCACTAGACTAAATTGGCTCAGATTTCTTCTTTGAGAAGCTCTGGATCATACTTAATCTTCAGATTCAACTGCAAATACTTGGTTAGGAAGGACATTGAGATGAATGTCCCAGGTAGAAGATGCTGGGGAAGATTACTGTACAGATAGTCAAATGATCACTCATTCAGCAGCTGTTCAAAATTACAATAAATAAACCAACAAGCGGTACTTACAGCCAGTCCTCAAAGTTCTAACTGTCCCAGTACCTCCCCTCCACAGTCATGTGATTGCACATTGGGTGCTTGGCAACCATCTCACACTTATGATAATTGCAGGATCACGTGATGATCATTTGCAACCTGCCCTGCCAGGTTCCAACAAACCAAGTCGATGGAGAAGCTAGCAGGGAGGATTGTACTCCAGCAATGTTTTCCTCCAAGGAGCCCAGATCCCTCCCTGTTACACACTTCTCTCCCACCCAGCAGCAGCCATCCCTGGCCCCACCTCACTTGTGCTGCACCTTGATGGTCACACACATCCCTCACGCCTCCTCCTTCACCTGACAGTAGCCACATGCCAGCCTCGCGGCACTCATGCCCCGTGGCCCCTTGGGCACAGCCACCCCTCCCAGCAGCAGCCACTTACCTGCCCCTTAATCTTCTGCAAGCCACCTGGGACTTGTGACTGTAGTCTTCCCCATTGACTTGGCTTGCTGAACCCAGAAGGACGTTGTGAACTGTTAACAACCCAGAATTCCCATTTAAAGATGGTAACAGAAAGTGCCAGGATCGCCAGGGACAACCATCGCTGAGCAATGTGGTCATCACTTACCAATGGAAATTCTGATCTGAAGCGCTGTCATAATCTGAGGACTAAAGTTGTTGGAGCGTGCACATAACCTGTTCAGGTAGTCCTCAACTTACAATAGTGCGTTCGAAGTTATAACGGCACTGACAAAAATGCCGTTACGATCTTTGCAGCATCCCCATGATCATGTGATCAAAATTCAGATGCTTGGCAACTGGTTCATATTTAGGACCGTTGCTGTATCCCAAGGTCACATGATCCCCTTTTGCGACCTTCTGTGAAACAAAATCAATGGGGAAGCCAGATTCACTCAACAATCGTGTTACTAACTTATCAACTGCAGTGATTCATTTAACAACGGTGCCTAGTAAGGTCATAAAATGGGGGCAAACTCACTTAACAACTGTCTCACTTAACAACAGAACTTTGTTCTATAGATTTGGAAGACTGGCAAAAATTATGGGATAGAAATATTAAATTAACTAAAGCAATCTCATATAAAGAACATTTGTATAAAATGTTTTATAGATGGCATATGACACCAGTAAGATTAGTGAAAATGTTTAAAAATACTTCAAATAATTGCTGAAAATGTAAACAAAGGCCAGGTACTTACCATCATATCTGGTGGACATGCCCTAAAACAAAAAAGTTTTGGGTTAAGATACATAACATGGTTGGAAAAGATGATTAAAAGACAAATAGAATTTAAACCAGAACTGTTTTTGTTAGGAATACAAAAGACCTAATTATGAGAAGGAGAATGAATATTTAATATTGCATGTACCGACAGCAGTGAGAGTAGCATTTGCCCAATATTAGATAAATGAAAGCTTACCAACTGAAGAGGTTTTAATTAATTAAAATCTTAGAATGTGCAGAAATGGATAGATTGACCTTAGAGATTAAAGAGAAAGAAGATTCAGTTTACTTTAGAACATGGGATAATTTTTACCAATGGTTAGGAAAACAAACTAGTGAGAAATGAATGTGATATATTATTTTGAATATATATTAGTAAGAAAAATGATATGCATTGATTAACTGATACTGCTTGTGATTATTGTTTATTACATTTACTACAATTATTTATTACTATATCAACTATTGTTAATTGAACATATGTACCCGGACAATAGTCTGTTTGCTGAAGATTGAAAATGTTATTGGGGGATAACTCCAATGTTGTTCCCAACCCTGTCCTCATCCCAGTCCTGATCCTAACCTCATCCTAAACCTTAATCCCTATCCCAATCCTATTCTATCCCTAACCCTATAAAATTCAATAAAATCTTTTTTTAAAAAAACAAAAAACAAAACCAGAAATTTTGGGGTCAGTTGTCATAAGTTGAGGACTACCTATATTACCTAAGTCAAATCATTGCCTTTAGGCATAATGGAGGATTCTGTCCCATCAGTAGCTTTGACTGCTTGTCTAGTGTTCTTTTTTGTATGTAATGGGTAGGAAGGGACTTAACTTTAGCCTCTGCTTTAAGCAATAACACATCTTGGGTTGGCCCTAAATCCAAGTCAGATTTCACGACTTCCATGCATTCTCTCTCCTCCATTCCTTTTCAGACCCTGACATGTGCTGACGGTCTGGTTAAAGCCAGGTGCAGCCCAGCTGCTTCACAGCTACAAGGTCTCAATTTCAGTCCTTGGCGTCTGAAGACTGAAAAAAATGCAGCCTGCAATCCTGGAAAGTTGTTGTCAATCGTGTAGACAATGCTGGAGAGGAGTTGTCAAGGATCTGAGAGTGCAGCTGGCAGATTCCTTCTGTAATCATGATGGTCCCGCATCTGTTGTGAAACATGAAAGGCAATAGAACAGGGCTGATTATGGAAAGAAAATCTCCATCAAATTTCAATTGATGATGATGACAATGGTAAGCTAAAGGTAAAAGTTTCCCATTTCCAGTCATGTCTGGCTTTAGGAGAAAGTGCTCATCTCTGTTTCTTCTAAGGGAGCCAGGGTTGTCCAAAGACATTTCCATGGTCGTGTGGCCAGTATGACTATATGCCAAGCTGCACAGAACACTGTTACCTTCCCACCATTGTGGTACATGTTTATCTACTTGCATTTGCATGCTTTCAAACTGCTAGGTGAACAGAGGCTGGAGCATATAATGGGAGCTCATCCCTCACACAGCACTTGGGTCTTGAACCTGGGCTATCAGCTTTCCAGCTAACAAGCTCAGCGTCTTTAACTGCTGAGCCATTGCACCTGTGTTGATGATAATGATGAGTTGCAAAAACATGAATAATACCCCATTCAACCAATGCTGGACAGTTCCCATAAAAGCGAGAGAGGAGAAAAAAACATTAATAAACTAAAACCATGGGTCACAAAATCAATCATAAATTGATAACAATAACTATACTGAAGGCTCAACAACAGTAGATATAGTTAGCAATTAATGTTATCTTCAAAGAAATGTCTAAAGAGCATTCTTTGCTGTCAGCCTTCTTAATAGTTAGTCAAAGGTAATGGGGATATCAGTGGTTGGATGCATAAGCTGTTTCAAAAAGTCAGAATATTATTGATAGTGGGACCTTTTTAAAAAATGATAATTTTTCAGTTGAGTTCCTCATTTATGGATGAATGGATTGATTGATCGATGGACAGACAGACAGACAGATAGACATTGGTTACCTGCTAATTTATAGGATTGGTGACAATACAGGGTGATGAGAACTTTCCTAGCCCACCTCATTTTATAATCTGGTTGACACTTTGCGGTACTTTATGTCTTTGTGATTGCTTGATTTAGTGGCTCAGAATCAAAAGCTATGCTGGCTCAGGGATTCTGGGAGTTGAAGTCCACGAGTCATAAAAGAGCCAAGGTTGCTTACCCCTGGTCTAATCAAATGAAAGCTTATAAGAAAGAAAATTCCATCCCTTTCTTTTCTCTTTTTGGCTTTGTAGACTATCCAGACAATTGCTGATTCTATCAACTCAATGGGTCCTTCTCCTTTTTTGCCATAATAATAATAATAACAACAACAACATCTGAAATAGAATCGCTGCTCAACACTGTCCATATATATAGCCAAGATATTGTTAAGGAGTTTGGCTTGGACAAATGTGCCACACTTACTATCAAACAAGGAAAAGTAGTAAAAACTGAAGGAATCAAGATGCCCCACGAAAATAACATTAAGAGTCTGGATGAGGAAGATTACTACAAATACTTGGGTATCCTTCAAGCTGACAACATCAAGCACACTGAAGTCAAGAAAAAGATTAGAGGTGAATACATCAAGAGAGTGAAGAAGATCTTAAAGTCCAAACTCAATGGAGGAAATACCATAAAGGCAATCAACACCTGGGCAATTCCAGTCATTAGGTACACAGCTGGAATAGTGGACTGGACTCAAGCAGAACTAAAAGCAATGGATAGGAAGACGAGAAAAATAATGACAATGAATCATGCCCTTCATCCATGCAGTGACATTGACAGACTTTATCTACCAAGGCAAATAGGTGGGCGTGGAATGCTACAAGTACATCAGATGGTTGAAGAAGAAAAAATGGCTTTGGAAGAATATCTGAAGAACAATGATGAAGATGCACTGAAATTAGTATATAAGGAAGGCTTACTGACTACTGGAGAGACCAAACTGGCCTACAAGAAAGACCAAATGAAGAACAGAATAGAGGCATGGGAAAACAAAGCACTACATGGCCATACATTAAAAATATAGCTGGGAAAGCAGATAATAACAAGACCTGGCAAGGGCTAAGAGCAGGAAAATTGAAGAAAGAGACTGAGGGACTAATTCTGGCTGCATAAGACCAAGCCTTGAGGACAAATGCATATAAAGTAAAAATTGAGAAGACAGCAACAGACAGTAAGTGCCGCCTATGCAAAGAAGCTGAAGAAACAGTGGACCACCTGGTAAGCTGCTGCAAGAAGATTGCACAGACTGACTACAAACAGCGGCCTGACAAAGTAGCAACAATGGTGCATTGGAAGATCTGCAAGAAATATCATTTGCCTGTAAGCAAATTGTGGGATCATAAAATAGAGAAAGTCATAGAAAATGATAAAATTAAACTGCTCTGGGACTTCAGAATTCAAACAGACAAGCACCTGCAACATAACACCCCAGACTTAACAATTGTCGATAAGAAAGACAAAAAAGTCTGGATAGTGGACGTGGCAGTGCCTGGAGACAGCAGAATAGACGAGAAAGAACTGGAGAAGATAACAAAATACAAAGACCTACAATAGAAATAGAAAGACTGTGGCAAAAGCAAGCAAGGGTAGTACCAATAGTGATAGGCTCCTTGGGTGCAATCCCAAAACAAATGGAGCACCACTTGAACACCATTGGCATTGACAAATTCGCTATTAGTCAATTGCAAAAGGCGGCCTTACTAGGAACTGCTTCCATCCTGTGATGATATCTGTAATACCATCAAACATCCACATCTGCCTATCCCAGGTCCTGGATAAGGACTCGATAGGTAGACAAAATGCCAAATCCAGTCTGAACATCTGGCTGACTGTGTGATGATCAATAATAATAATAATAATAATAATAATAATAATAATAAGTGGGCACTACCTTGACGTGGTTGTGGGGCTTGTGTACTCTGAGGAAGATGAGAGCTATGCCAGAGGTTCAACCATACTGGACAGGTCTCATCAGAGGAGTCAGACAAAGAGTGTCTCTCCCATAAAAAATATGGTGAGACGTAAATTTCAGAATGCCATACCGGCTCGGACGTCGCCCGGGTTAACAAGGTCCGCACTAGATATTGGAGTTCCTGGATATCTGGTGAAAAATGGTTACAGGACTCAGGACTGTTGGCTGAGCAACCAGGGCCAGCAGCTGCAGAACTACTGGAAGAAAAGGTGTTTACCCGTCGCAGATACACAGTGATGGAAAACAAAGAAATAATGATCTGTTACTACAGATCAAGTCCAACAAGACGAGGATATCTAAAACGAATGCACCAATTCTGGAAAGAACAACATCCAGAATCAGAAATAACAGAACAGAGACTAGCAGATCAACGCCGATTTATAACACGAAATAAAGTATTTACAGAAACAGAATTGGACGAACTGCAAAGGTTTACCCAGGGCAAAGAAATCAAAGCCTTACCAGAAGTAATTCAGAATGTAGAGGCAAACCAGGGGGAGTTGGCAGTGAAAGAATCCAGCAGAGATATACAACTGTTCTCATTTGGAAACCAGGCACCTCTTCCTCAGGAAGAACAAAACCCTCTAACTAAAGAAATAAAAGAATTGAAACAAAGAATAATTGAGCATCTAGAACAGCACAAAAACAACAGAATAAGGCTGCCTGCATTGAAGCTTGTTCCAAAGAAACAGCTAGCACAAGCATTAAAAGATGCAAATACTGCAATAGCAAGTATAAGCACCAATTCACTGCAAGAAACAAACCAATTAATGTACAGCACAGCTGCAGTTATAACAGAATACCTGGGATGTAAAATCAACAAAAAAGAAAAACAAACAAACAGTGCACCAGAAAAATGGAAGGTTAGACTAGAAAATAAGATCAGCAAGTTAAGATCACATGCAAGCAAGCTAGAACAGATGAAAGAAAAGAAGCTGAAGAACAAGAAGACCAAAGAATACCTAATCAAGAAATACCACTTAGAAACAAGGAAGATCAAGGAAGCACTGGAAATAATAAAGCAACAAATAACAGCTATAGCCAGGAAAATCAGTAGATATGAAGCTCGAATTGCAAACTATAGGCAGAACCTCCAATTTCAATCCAATCAGAAACGTTTCTACCAATCCATCAATGGAGAAACTGCAAGGAATCAGTCAGTACCTGACAAGGAAGAAACAGTGCAATTCTGGAAGCAGGTATGGGATAACCCAAAGAAATACAACAAGGATGCAGCTTGGTTAAAAGAAGTGGATGCAAATAAAACAGAAGTTGAAATGAAAGAACTAGTAATAACAACAAAAATGGTAGAAAAAAGAGCAAAGAAAATCAAAAATTGGTCAGCACCAGGTGAAGATGAACTGCATGGGTTTTGGTTGAAACATCTAACTGTTATACACCCACTCATTGCCAAGCAATTCAACAATATACTACAAGGAGGAGAAATTGAAAAGTGGCTAACAACTGGGAAAACCTACCTAATAATGAAAAATCCAACAAGAGGGGCAACACCAGGTAACTACAGGCCAATTACCTGCTTACCAACAACTTTCAAATTACTAACTGGTGTGGTAGCTGATGCAGTACAACAGCATCTAGTTGAAAACAATCTCTTTCCACCTGAGCAGAAAGGAAACCGCCCCAATAGCAGAGGAACAAAAGATCAACTCCTAATAGACAAAATGATCTTGGAAAACTGCAAGAGAAGGAAGACCAACCTGAATGTGGCATGGATTGACTACAAAAAGGCATTTGACTCTCTGCCACATGATTGGATAATAAAGTGCCTAGAAATAACAGGAGTCAGTAGAAACATCAGAAAATTTGTGCAAAGATCGATGGCACAATGGAAGACACAGTTGCAGATCAATGGTGAGAGGCTGGGAGAGGTTAATATCAAGAGAGGAATATTTCAAGGAGATTCATTATCACCATTACTATTTGTTATTGCACTGTTTCCTCTGTCAACAATACTGAATAACTCAGGACATGGCTATCAAACATCAAAAACATCTGCTAGACTATCCCACCTCCTTTACATGGATGATCTGAAGCTGTATGGAAAAACATCATCTGAAATAGAATCGCTGCTCAACACTGTCCGTATATATAGCCAAGATATTGTAATGGAGTTTGGCTTGGACAAA